TAGTATATAAAAATGAATGTTAGTTTGTTAATGACGCTAAGAATCGAAAAGGTTTGACCAATCTTGATGAAATTTTCAGAAGTTGTACGTAACTGGAACTGGGAAGGTATAGAAATAATAAAAAAATTATGATTTTTTTGAGGAAAAGTCGGAAAGTTGGAATATTCCAAAAACTGATCTTGTTTCAAACGATTTTTTTTTGTTGTTTTTTTTTGAATTATTTTTGATAAAAAAGATAAAATATGTATATGTCGATACATACTCATGATTTCATGATTTCCTGACTTTAGACTAATTTTTTTATAGACAAACCATATTTATCTTCAGAGTGTGTTATATATATATATATATACATNATTATATATTATATTTATTATATTTACATATTAGAAATTTCTTATATAAATAGCATTAAAAATATATTATAATTTTGAAAATATTTTCATCAAAATTTGTGTACAAATCAGAAATTCTTATATTCTTGTACATACATAAAATAAAAAATATATATAAAAAAAATTAAAATTAAAAAACGGCAAATGAATTGAAAATAATATAAAATTAATTCAATAATTACAATACCGGAAGAACATTGCCCCAAGTTGTTGCGGCAATCAGCCAAATTGTTGCACAGTTCAACTGTCCACATATTGTTTATGTAGGTTCATGTGTATGTATGTGTGTATGTAGGCGAATTAGTACATTCATATGCCCACTTATTTATTGACAGCGCCCAATTGGGCTTTTTATTGCATTTAATATGATAATTGCACGCATTTTGACTGGACGCAAGCAGCAAAAGCAAGCTGCCCACACAAGCACACACACACACACACACACACACACACATACACAGAACTCATGAAATATGGAGAAAAGCGGCTTGACAATATTTTTTTTATTCCCTTTCATTATTTCGTTTAGTACTGCTATTATTGTTTTTTTTTATTGTTGATGGTGTTGTTGCTGTTGCTGTTGATGGTGTTGTTGTTGTTATAAAGCCCCCATAGCGTAATTGCATATTAACTTCAATCAGCCGCGCGTACAATTGCCCGTTTACGGTCATACCGTGCGCAGTCCAATTGATATTGCAGACATTTCGGATAAAAAATGTAAAAAATAAAAATAAACAGAAATAAGTAAAACAACAACAACGCAAAATCGTCGAAAAACAATGAATTGTAATTGTTTAAAGCAATAACAACAAATACAGCAACAACAAAAACAAAAATATAAAAAAATCCGCATTGAATTGCTTGCTGCATAACAACAACAACAACAACAACAGCAGCAACAAGGAACCAACTAACCAACCAACCAACCGACACTGGTGTCCCACCAATAAGTGTCCAAACGAACAGCGGCGGCGGCGGCGACCCAATCAACCAACCACACCAACTAACCAAACTCTCACTTAATGCTTATCCAATTACAATATGCGTTGCGCAGCTCATCGTGTATGTATGTATGTGTATACATACATTACGTAAATATGTATGTGTGTGTGCATGTTGATGTGTTTTACGAATGCGTTTGCTGCTGCTTCCTCTCGTTGTTTGGTTTGCTCTTGCTTTTTTGTATTGTCTAAATGTTTGTCGTTGTTGTTACTTGCTACACGCTTTTACTCGTATTATGCACATGTGCATACATACATACAAACATATGCATGTACCGGGAACTCTTCTGCTTATTAGCCAGCAAACGGCACGTAAATTCATTATTTTTCACTTTTTTTGCATTAAAATGTAGAAAGAAGAAACAACAAATAATTTATTTTGAAATTGAAAAAAAAAATTTGATAAAAAAAAAATGTCAAATAATTTTTATTTAATGATTCAATGAAGCGCTGGTTGGCGGCGCTGGTTGGTTCACTTGTCGTGCTGCTGCTGGGGTTAGCTGGCAGCGTTTAGCATTTTACGGTATTCATTAAAATTTTTGTAAAATTCTGACAATTCTTTGCTTGTTTTTTTTTTTTTGGTTATGTTTTACCGATGGGAATGAGGAAATTCAGTAGGAATTTGTGTGAGTGAGTAATTGTGTCAAAAACTCCTAATTTCTCCGCCGCGTAAGTGATTTGAAGCAGCTCAAATTGAAAGGCGTCGCATGCTCCCTATGTATGTAGTATATGCTTATGTATTTAAAATACATATATATGTATATGTACATACATAATGAGTATTTTGAAAATTAAATTTGAATTAAATTTTTTTACTAATATTTTTATTTTTATTTATTTATTTTTGATATTTGATTGCGTGTGTAGGAGAGTTGGTCAAGCAGCGAGTAGCTTAGATTGTGGTTTGTACTTTTTGGGTACTTATTTATTTATTTTTATTTTTTGCATTCTAACCTCAAAACATTGATTTTTACTTCAAGATTTATGCATTGAAATAAAAGAAATTCCTCCAGAACTACAAAAGAAAAATTATTTGAGTATTTTTTGGTAGGAAAAATATTTTGCGAACTAACAAAATTTACTATTATTTTTTAATTGTTGCTAAACTTTTTTTTTACTTTTCAAGAAGCTAGCTACAGTTGTTAGTAAAGTAATGTTATATTTGGATTTTTTTTAAATTAACTTTTCTTATTTGATTTACATATTTTTAGCTCAGCAAATTAAGAAAGGTGTAAACAACAAAGTTAACAGTAAATATTTTTTTCAGTTTAATTCATTTATTATATTTATTTGTTATGATGAATTTGTTTCACAAATTCGTGCGAAATTCAGTGAATGGTTTTTAGTAAATTTTTTTATTTAAATTAAAGAGAAAATATGTGTATGTATTTAAAAATTATAAATTTTGTATATGAAATTTATTGCCACAAAAATGTAATAAAACCAATGAGGCTGTCGATTTATTTCTTATAAAAATTTTAAATTGAGTTCTTATAAATTTGGTTAATTTTAAACGAAAGATAAAATTATGGAAATAAATAAATTAGTATATATACCGTTATTAATTCATTAAGCGTTAGTGTACTTAATAGGTTTTGATACAGAAAAACGAGTCAGAGAAATGAATATTAAAATCATTGCATAAACTTAAACTCTTAAATGGTTGTGCATTTCAAAGTTTGTTCTGCAAGAATACAATGAAAAGGGCGTAAAGTATCTAGATGATCTTGAAGCGTTGGCAATGTGAAGCTCGCTAAGTAGCAAGTAAAAACTCCAAACATCTTTCAACGAATTTAGGCCGATAGCCTCCGTTGCTAGTTGCCTTAATATTGTAATATAATTATTTATAATTATATTTTAAATTAAAAATAATAATCATAATCTTTCAACGACTATAGAATTGTAGGCAGATTAACGAGTCGTAAGGGACTTTTCAAAGGGGGAAGATTCCCAATCGCTACCCAGTCTAAATTTCTTTACGCGAATAGTAGGAATTGTTTTTGTGCACATTATTTACAATTTATTTACAATAATGGATAGTGCAGACCCTAGTTTTCAAAATGAGCATAGCAAATAAAGAGTATTTTGGCAATGTATGGGTCATTGAAATCTTCAGCCCAATGCCTTATTAGCACAAAATTGTATATGATTTATGAAATCTAGCTCAGGGTCTATTATTCAACATTGTGATTATGTATCATATTAAAGCCAAATGATTAGGTAAATTTTCTGGAGAAACACATATATTTGCACTTACTTATTTAGTTCAAGTTACTAAAGTTCTCTATCTTCAATTGAATGAACTGATTTAAGGAGCTTCAGATCATCTGCGTGCAGGGGTGTTTTAGAATGAAGAACCACAACACCACATTTAAACCGTATTTGGATAGAAAACTAGACTACTAGATGTGTCGTTTAACAGAAGTTCTCTCTTACCTCTTATAAAGAAGAGAAAAATATTTTCCAATTTAAAAAAATTGCATGAGAGCATTTAAGCATATTAAGCGGCCGCGTTAGTTGAGTGGTTAGCATTGTAAACTACCAAGGCTTCGAAAGGCTCGGATTAAAATCCCCGTGCGACCAACATCCAAAGGAAAATTAATTTAAATGAAAAATTAATTAATTTGATTAATTTAATTTAATCTTTCTAGTTGCGGTCACTTCTCGGCAGGAATGTCCACCCCTACGAGAGTATTTCGAACATGAAATAAAGGTTCCTCGTAAATAAAACCATCAGTTTTTCGGAGGCGGCTCAGTATACACTTTAGGTCCCTCTATTTGTTGGAAAAGCATCAAGACGCAAAACAACAAATGGGAGGAGCAGCTTGGCCGAAAATCGCTTAAGTGGTTACGAAGCGCCAATTATATACATATATAAGCACTTTAAAATTTGTATTTGTTAATTGTAAAAATTCAATAAAATTTTTACTAAAGTAAGAAAGTGAAGCTTAATATTTGATGCTAAAAATTTAAATCAGTAGTAATGCCTCTAAATTGAGTAGAAACTTGAAGAAAGTTTTAAGATGCAAGTACTTCAAATTTTTGAGGTAATGGTAAAACGAGGATGTCAGAAATATCTATGTATTTTAACTAATTCACTAATATTTTAATTTATTACTGACTAAGATTTATGCAAATCACTATTTCTTCAAAAGATATGGAATTTTTAAATTTCTCAAAACTTGAAACGATTGGAAATTTAATTCGATAATAAATAAATTTTATTTCTTTTGGTATATAATACTTTTTTCTTCAAAAGCAGCAAGATTTTTGAAACAGAAAAAATATAATTTTTTTGAATTTTTGAAAACACCGTTAAAATGCATTTAACCAGTTCAAGATTTGAAATCGAAAATAACGAAAAAATGCATAGAGATCCAACTCTTAGTCCCAAAATTTTTCCATTTTATAAGTAAATGAAATTTTGTAAATATTTAAAGTGTTTTTCCACATTTTTTCATTCACTACTTGTTTCTTGCCCACTCACTTTCCCCGACGGCTGTACGCCACCAAACAATTAACGCGTCTTAACAGCGCCATACTGGTTGATTGAATAAATAATATATATTATATATGTATTAAAACTGTAAATCTCGTCACTTACCACCTCCACCGAATCCTTGACCCGGAAACAGACCAGGCGGTCCGAATGGCGGCATTTGACGCGCCCCCGGCCACGGCACACCACCGCCAATGCCACCCCACGCCACAGCCGCAGCGGCTAGAGCGCTGAATGGTGTCGGTCGGATGGGCACATGCCCGGAGGCGGCCAGCGCAGCTGGTGAGAGTAGATGCGGTGAATTGGGCATATGATTGCTAAGCGCCTCTGGCGATTTACTGCTATCCATGCCGTCCGGTGTTGAACGCGGCGAGTCGTCCGCATTCATATCTTCAATATCGACAATTGAATCTTCATCCTCATCATGTTCATGTTCACCATCATGCTCATGCTCATTATAGTCATCATCATACTCCAGTTCCGAGTCTACAGAGCTGCCGATGGGCGAATGCCGTTCATGTTTGGCCAATAATGCTGTTGCGGAAGATGAAGATGACGTTTCGCCATTGGGACCACTCATATGCGCGGAAGGTGACGAGAGGCGTGCCGCTGCGGAATGTTGATGTTGCGTCGCGCTGCTACTGCCACCTTCCGTGGTGACCAGATTTGTGGGCGCCTCCGCTGAACCGGCGCTTAAGCTGTGCCGCAAATGTGCCGTCGCTGAACTATGTAAATGCGCCGCACCAACACCACCGCCACTTGCTGCTGCTGCGACAGCAGCTTGTTGTGCCGCTGCTGCGGCAGCCACAGCGGCGGCGTGTTGTTGTTGCGCGTGTGCGGCAGCGGCGGCGTGCAACAAATGTGCATGATGCGCTACGGCAGCAGGATGAAAATGCGCATGTGGATGCTGATGTGGCGGATGATTAGCGGTTAGATGAGGTGGCAACGCTTGCGTGCTGTGCGTTGCATTAGGAGAGGCGGGCGAGGAGCCAGCTGGCGAAACAGGTGATAATGTGACGGCTGGCGTATTGCTTGACAAATTACGTGGCTCCGTTTGCATCGTGTCCGTGCTGTGGGTGCGTGTTGGTGAGAGATTTGCAGCAGGTCGCGTATCCGCGAGTAAAGAAGCAACGCTGAAATTACTTAAACGTGAACTGGTCTTATTGTTCAATTGATGCGGGTGATTAAGTGTTGACTGATGGCCATGTAGTGGTAACAACTGCTGTTGCAACGTTTGATGTTGCTGATGTGTTAAGATTAGTGTGGAAGGTGATGTGGGACTGCTATTGCTGCCGCTCCGATTGAGGTTGTTATTGTTGGGACTGGCATTAGTGCTGTTGTTATTCGTATTGCCACCTATCAAATGTGCCGGACTGACAACTAACGTGCTGGGGCTGGTCATGGTCATGGTGGTGGTGATGGCGGCTGATGCAGTTTGCGGCGGTACCGTCGGGCTTGTCATGCTTGTGCGTAAACCAGTGACAGTCATACCTGTAGATGACAGTTTTAACATGGGGCAGCGAGGTGGCGAGGATTGAGAAGAGTTTTGTAAGAAATACTAAAAATGTTTGAGTTTCTTTTAAAAGGGTGCACTTTGGATGATAATGCAAGTTTGGAATAAGTCAGAAAACATGCTGTTTCAGTTTCACTGTATTAAAAACCACATAATTTTTGAGGCAGCGCTGTTTGGTTGAAAGGTAGTCACTGCGCTTGTGATTTGTTGCTTCAAAATTTCTTCACACAATTTGCTGCAATTTTTTTGTAATTTTTTTGTTTTTTGTTGCTAGTGTACTTTTTAATGATATTTGTTTTTGTTTTTCTTTTCAACTTATTTTCACGCTCAAATTAGCTTGTCACCTTTGTTCGTACGCTCGCAACGCTTAATTAACTTTTAATTAATGACTAATGCGACCGCCTGCCCGCGCTTTCTGCATTAAATGAACAACAAAACCGAAAAGCACCGGACGTCAGTGGTCAGTATTTTAAACCAAGTTTTTTTTTTGTTCCGCTTTTATTTTATATATTTTTTTTTAGCACAATTTCGCCGTTTACAAATTCTTATCAAACCGAAATTTATTTAAAATTGTTTAAAAACACTTATTAATCAAACGATTTGTCACTTATTAATGCCAATAAACCGAAATCGATCTGTGTTGGCTCGACGTGGTAAGCGTATGGCTGGTTGGCTGTCTGGTTGGCTGACTGGCGAGCGTCTACAAAACAAACCAACGAATTATGTACTACGAACAACACATCCGCTTGAGATCACGACTGGTCTACAACTGAATACTCAACAACAAACCAAAGCGGCTGAGCGCTGAGGTATTCAGGCACATTTGTAGAAACAGAGCGAACGTGGTCGCTCCGCATCACATGCACGGCAGCCAGACACAATGATACATGGACACATACATATGGACACACATTGTATAGGTATATGCAACAGACCGGTTTTATCGTAGTGGTGGTGGCTGAAAGTGGCGCTCGCTTGTATGCGCCTGCATATGTGTGTATGTATGTGCTTCCATGTAGGCAACCCGACAGCTAACCAGCTGCCAACCATTCGAACAAACCCTCATGGAGTGCGGAAGGAGGGCTGAAGCTGTTTGTTGGCCAGTCACATAAGCTGGCATATCGTCCATTCATTGAAGTGCCGTAATGAGGCATGTACTCTACCTACCACCACCAATGCCAGTAAAAGTATACCAACAAACACAACAACAACATACGTACCACTTGCGTGTAAGTGCGAGCGTGTAGGCTATAGTTTTGCCGAATGTACTATATTTGCACTTGGCTGCCGGCGCACTTTGCTTCTAATTGGTTTATGCGTGCAACAACAATAAAATGTTGGAGTGTTGGAAAAGTTGCGCCTGGCTGGCTGGCTCGCTGTGTTGGGTGGGTGGAAGAAAGGTAAATAATATCAATGTGTATATTTTTTTTTTTTGAAACTGTTTAAGGTGAGCTGAATTATTGAAAATTGTTAAAAAAATATAATAATAAAAAAAACTTAATTTTATATGAAATTCAAATATTACTCAAACTAAAAAATATTCTAAATATTTAAATATTTAAAATATTAGCAAAAAATTAAAAAGCTAAAAGTTTAATAATCAATAAAGCATAGATACATATTTACTATAGCAGTTAGAAAAGCTTTTGACAACAGCAAAAAAAAAAAATTGGAAAATAAAATAAATGTACAAATGTATGTACATATGTATGCATGTTGTATGCTTTATTTTTAATTTTTTATATCGAATTGGCGCTTTGTACCCGCCGAAGCGATTTTCACCCGAACCCGAGAAAATAAAACTTTAGTTCATAAAATGCAATTAATTACTTGGTGATTTCAATACAAAATTGTTGACATTCAAAAACAAATAATTATTTAATTCAAATAAAAATGTTTAAAAACAACTAATAGCCTGTCAAATAATTCAAACTCTAAAAACTGCATAATCGCACACAAATTAAAAAATCTTAATTCTTATTGCTTTATAAAATCCACTCTTGCTTATTCTGTCACACTCATTGCAGGCGCCTAAGCACTAATTGTACTTTCGTGCGCTCTTTCACACGTATATACTATTCAATATTATTTGTTTTTGTTTTGTTTTTGCATAGATTTTTTCTCATATTTTTGTACTCTTTTCGAACGCCAGCATTTTTTTCCATTATATTGTGTATACGTAGCTACAAATGCCAAGAAGAAAACAAAAACGAACGTGTTACTTGACTTCATTACTCACTCACTCTTGCTCTTGCCAATATACAGAGTATTTATTGGTTACCGCCCCTTGCCGTATGCTCTCAGAAAATGCATTCTCACACACAAGCATGTCTCTCACACTCATACAGCGCACATTGATTGACATTCTCTCTCACTGCCATTCACTGGGCGACTGGAAGTTTTCTTTTAATTTCCAGTTGTGCGGTGTGGTGAATTTGCTTTACTTTGTTTTGTTCAAGTATAAATATGTACATGCATGCAGTTATGTGTGCGGACTCTCTTAAGGCGGAGAAATGTCACCCGGCCATTTAAAAGCGTCGATTACTTCTAATTGCATTTATTGCCTTTTAAAGTATTTTATTTTATTTTTTTGTGTGTTTACTTTTTCTTTTCAATGAATTTCGTACATATATGTATAAATATGTAACACTGCATAAAAGGCAGCATACTCTATAATATAAATTTCTAGTGTATATTTTTAACTTTATTAAATGGAGTTGCGTAGGGAAGAACACGCATAATTTGAATGTGACAAAATTTGTACCCATAAATATATGTATGTACATATGTGTATATGGATAATGGGATAATGTCATCTGCAAGGTTATTAGTAGAAAAATATTTTAATAGAATTATTGCAAATATGTAGTTTGAGTTTTAAATAAAAGTGAAGCACTACAAAGCTTTCACTTTCAGTTTTCCGATTTTTAATTTTTTTAAATGTGTTTCCTAAAAGATAAATATTTCGTAGCTGTAAATAACAGGCCTAGTGGAAAGTAAACCAGTTTTGTATTAAATTGAAGGCTTTATTTACTCTCCGATTTATGTTAAATATGCAACGTTTTGATCGATGTGTGAGGTGTGAGGTTCGGAATATTTTTTTTTTATACACAATTCATTTATTTACTTGATCTGCTATAATATAAGCCTAACAGTAAGTGTACAAATCTTAAAAACTAAATTACAAACATGATAGCGCGAGTTATTTAACTCTGAGCCCTTTTAAAACTACGGCGCTCTCCTTAGAAGGCGGGAACATCTCTTCGCTGCTGGCGGGAATTTCTCGATGGGTTGCATAAAGCATTAACTAGCGGATTTGGATGATTTTTCAGGTTTGTGAAGTACTTCGTCCTGCTTCTTTCAATTTCAGGCTTAACCAATAAAATACCAAGGTCTTTATGAATATTTACGTTACGAACGTACCATGGTGCGCTCTTTAGTGCTCTTAAATTAATTTTGGACTGAAACCTCTGTACACCCAAATTGGTTTTAATACTGCGTTGTAAATAAGGACTTCGGAATGTAAGCTGGAATTTCCCTACCAAACTCTCGGAGTTTCTGCCGAGACACTATCGATGTGTGTGATCTTAGACGGTTGTTAAAAATCTTGTTCTGTTCTTGCATCTTAACCAGTGTTGGTGATTAGTGGTGTTAGAATATCAATAAAATAATTTTTAATTTCTTAAAGAGATCACTTCTTTCAAAGACCTTATGTACCAAAAAAAATTATTTGTAATTTCCTAGAAACTAATATTAGACCCTTGAACATAAACGGGATTCGTTTAGCTACCAAATATCTTTCTTCTGATTTCATTTAAACTCCAAATTAAAAACCGTTCTATGATCTTTTGTTGCTGGGGAGAGTCTAAACGATGTCTCATCGCAAGCAGCAACAGTTGGAGTGATGCCACTTAATCAAATCCAGGAACTCGATTGGCTTAACTACCGATTTAAGTTTTGTTTCGTCCCAGAAACCCAATCCCTTTAAGTTTTGAGCTCCAGACAACATCGAACATGTTTCTGTGCATGCTCTATAATCTTCTTAGTTTCTGAAGGCGACCCCTCAGGGGTCAATCACCTGTGGAACTACTACTAGTCAAGTTATAAATATTTTTGGTATCAAACAGTTCCCACGGTTACAATAAAGACATCCACAATTTTATGATGAATCTAAATGAATCCAAATGTGAGGCAGGCCCAGGAGCATGGTTCTTCTGTGACCCCGCTAATAACCATGGTAGGTTCTAGCTGAATGCTTAAAATTCTGTATTCTAAGCTAAGATTGTGGGTATTACTGAAGGCCAAATGTACAACCGCTTTAATGTGAAAATCTTTCAAGTTTCTGGTAGACATTCAAGTGGCAATTAAGGCAGTAAGACATGTAGATAATAGACTATCGTGGAAAACACAGTGAATATCACTTGTGTCCCAGGCCACATGGATGAAGAAGGCAATGAAAAGGATGCTACTGCCTCACACTTATTGCGAGGCTTTAAAGGTTGTTTAAAGAGGAACACTTAAGATCTTAGAACTCTTCGAACGTTAGATGTACCACAAAAATATTATGGAGTGTGTGTTGTCATCTCCATAACATAGGTATAGTGGAATTGGCCGAGCATGCACAGAGGATGCTGGAACACTACCTTTGTAAGTCTCCAGCCTTTAACCGTTTGAGGCGTCACATCTCCCACGATGCTCCCAAACCCAACCTTACGGAAGTGGGTACGCCTGCTTAGAAGAAACTTAAACAATTTGTAAAATCGAGCGAGCTTTTCAAAAATGCAGTGAGGGAGCATAATGAGTCTGCTCAAAGGCTTAGGTGAGGCCGCTTGCACGCAGGTTCTCAAAATCCGTCTTTCAAAAAACCAACCAAAATAAGATTTCAAACTTTTACCGTTGTTTAAAGGAAGGAATCACACGGCGACTTGTAGGAAATTTAAACAAACTTGAAACTTGAAAAGTGTTCGAAAAAGTCACGTGGTAAATACAATAGAGAGGATATATCTGAGGCAATACAACCTCTGGAAAAGTCGGGAGTCCCTTTTAGCAGTAACCGATGGAGATAAGAAGAAATAGCCTCTGGGAGCTGTTTTTTCTATGAATGAATGACATTTTATAATGGAAACGCATTGCATGGACAGTGAAGTGACATTGTGATTCAACACTATTTCACAAGGTTGCCAGGAAGGTTAAAGAGATCACAAATCAGCATGAAATTTCGCTTCTTAAAATATTTTGCTTAACCTGGGAAATTATTTCAGCACCACAGCAATTTTGGGATTTTGTCTTTGAGATCTAGATGCTGAGACATTAGTTTTGGAATTTCATTCTGAGATCCTGATATAGAGATCAGGATTTTGAGTTTTTGACGTTTTGATTTCGAGATATTAATAGTGAGAAAAAGATCAAAGTTTTTTATATTAATTTAATTCCAGCAGACTTCCTCACTCCAAAAGAAACCGGCGATTTTTCATACAGTCTTTCGATCTTTGCAGAACTCATTTAAGAATAAAACTTTCGAAAATGACGTGGATATAAAAACGCAATTGATTCAATTTTTTGCAGTTAAAGACCAGAAGTTTCATCAGCGTGGAATAATGATGTTGCTGGAAAGATGGCGAAAGGTCTTCCAATAAATTGGATATTGTATAATTAAAGCTTATTATATATTTAAAGAAAAATTATTTACTTTCTTTTAAAAAATCTCCGGTTTCTTTTGGGGTAACCCAATATGTAAAATAGTCACGCAACTAAAG